GTGAAATTGAATGGAAACGTCAGCTCAACTCATATCATTGTGGGAAAATTCTACTATCAGTCCTTCATCAGCTCAGACGAAATAGGTTAAATACATCTCATTAAGAAGATTAATAGTTGGATTTTCCCACAATAACATATGTAGGCCTTCCGTCTTCATTAAGTCGTACTCAGACTTGCTTCCTAAAAGTTATCATCCAGAGTGGACTGTAGTCTCGACCTCGCCTAAGTCAGCCTTCCCAGCAGGATTTGGATCCGGATGGTCCGTCGTATACACCTCGAAGCACTAACCACTACGCGACATTGCAACGAGTGTTCTTGGTAAGCAGCTCAGACATTAATTCCAAGCCATTCCTCTATACAAGTTTGGTAAACCAACTGATGCTAAAGTAAAATTGTGGAAAATCAGGATTTCAAAGAATCCTGATCTTTGCGTACCTTTAATTTCATTTGAAGAGGCGAGTGGGAAGGATTCGTTACTTGGCTTCACCGGAAGCCTTGGAGCAGTGCATGTAGCTTTTTGCACATAATTCCTCAACTCATCATTTTGCTACTGATCTTTCGTCTGTCATGTGAGAAGGATGCTCAGCAATAATTGATCAGGGTCGTCGGATGACTGGTCAAAGCTTTCCGGGAAGCCAATTTACGCGAATCCCTTTCATTCACCTCTTCAATCGAAATGAAGGGCACTCCATCATGAAGCAAAATTATATTTGCTATTACAATCAGCCACATTACTTATATTCGTTTTGAGTAGGTTTCGAAACAATCAGTGGATCTTGAATAGGAGACGGAAACATAAAACTAACCTTTTTATTCAAGAGTGAATACATCAATTACAGTTTATTTTTCCGAGGCACAAGTATGCACTTTAAATGGAGTAATTTTAATAAAAAATACAAACAATCATCAGCAACAAATCAAATTGATGCAAAATTGCTAGTAAATGTGAATTACTTTTCACTATAGGCGGTGTCACTACGCTTCCACGAAAATTGAGCTTCAGCTCTAGCAACACCTATTCCGCCACCAGTCCTGGCCCTTCTGTTGCTGCCTCGATTTTCTCAAATTGTCCACCCACAACTACATCCTCCTCCTCAGTTGTATCGTCACATCCGCGCCCAGTGACCACAACTGCGCCCGGATCAAGTGGAACGCACCAGCCTCAATTGACGTCCCTGTTGGCTCAGGGTTCATCTGGGCAAGGGATAACGTCGAAATCCAATCTCTTGCATTCACAAGATTCATTGGTGACACAAGACGACGTCGATACCGAGACCGTGAATGCTGACACGGATACCGATACCGATGCTGAGGCTCCAGACTGTCCTTGGCGGCAAATCAATGAAACGACCAACACCGAAAACCACGGTCCTACTTGCCTTAATCGAGATGTTGCAACAACACCCTTAAACGGCAGTACACTGTCCAACTCCCTAGACAACCGACCATGTCCGGCTATCCATGGAGCTGCTCCGACGATGACAACGACGACATCAGTAACACCATCCACGTCTGTTCTAGCTACTGCCACATTGCTCGTCCTCGGCCATCGACTGCAACGAATGCAGTTCAGGAAAATGGCCTTCTGTGATCTCTGCCATAGAGCATGCTGGAGTATGCTGACACCACCTCTGGCCCTTCAATGTTTGCACTGTCAGGTTGGCAAAGACTTTTATTCAATCATAATTTTATTCTTTTATTCTGAATTAATTAAGAACTTAGCGACCTTAGGCCACTAAGGCGGATTTAATTACTCATGTGATATTATTTAATTTCATTTAACTGTTTAGACGATTCAGCCTTAGATTTGGTTGTATTATCCTTCAGCTATATAGCGTTAATTTGACCTGATCTGTCGCAACTTGACCGGATCGACAAGGATACTTCGCTGAGCATGCCTAGTACTTCGTATTATGCTACAATATTAGTGATAATTTTCGACGGTAGACCGTTTAATTGGTAGAATTCCAGAATTTTTGACGACAACTTAGCTAGGATTTTCACTGAGAGGCTAGCTTTCCATTTCCCCATTGTGGCATCTTTCCCTTGCCCTGTCCTGGCTTCTAACATTGTATCTCTATCTCTGAGCTTCTTGGACCCAAACTGCACTTCCATTTAGTCTTCCATCTTTACTGAACTTGTCGCATATTCCCTGCTGTACATGGAAATCAATTCCTTGCATAATTGTCTATCTCGGTCACTGTCCACATCCTAGTCTTGTTTTGCGTAAAGGGTGATTCTTTCTCATACAGCACCTTAGAATTCACAAATCCAATAGCCCAGTTATCCTTCTCCCTACCTCGATTCTAGTTTATCTCATTTTCTGAAACCACTGGAGTGGAAATGGTATATTTCATTTCTCATAACACATGCTAATCTTGTTTCTCCCGTTGCCAGTACCACATGATCCCAAGATTATAGTAATTTATGCATATCTATATTGGCTGACAACTACTTTGGTTTTTCATGTCAACATCCACCTTCATCCTTATACACTCTAATGCACAAACACACATTGAGGACGAATTGATATTATTTCAACCCATTGGTTTCCACACCAAAGTGGATTTGAGATAGATCTAGATCCTGCATTTAGCACTTCTAATGGTGCACTATTCGGACATTTCCTTATCCCCAAATGGACCCAACCCAGTAAGTTTGTTGAAAATGAGTTTGGGTTTGACTCATTTAATGGAATCGCTTTCGTTTAGATGTTACCCTAAAAAAGCTGTCGTAATTAAGGTAGCCACTAAAATAAAAATGTGTTTGCTCGGCTACATGATGTAAAGTTGGATTTCCAGTGGTAAATGGCAGAATACAAGTTGTGTTACCAAGTATTCTATATATAATCAGATGAAATAAAGTATAAAGAGGAGTATATAAGGGCAATTATTGAAGGCGGCGTGTAACGGCATAATTTAAGCACAGCGGATCACAGGAGAAATGGAAAGAGCTGATAAAAAACCGTAGAAGCATAGTTACTATGTTTTCTGTTTGAAATACCATTGTGAAATTTTGCATACCACTGTTTGGCTAGTTCAAAAGGTAGACACTATTGGTCAATGTAAATTAAACAGGGAAAATTAGTCATAGTTTCTAGTAATCTTTGTGTCAAGGTGTTGAACCGTTGCCACGTATGTAATGTAGCAAAACTAACCATTCTAATAGAAAAGCATAGAGATTAGTCACTACGATGAAATCTTATCCCGGTTTGACTGTAGTTCTTATATCGTTTAGGTCGTCTAACCAATTCTATTAAGGTTTCAAACCTTCTCGTGTACATAAATTGGTGACACAGTATGACTTCTATACACAAGTAAGACGTGTTTTTAAAGGCAAATCAGGCGTCTTTCAAATCATATTAATATTTTGTCGGTTGTTGAGGAGGAAAGCATCTATTTGCTATAACTATCCACAATGTTACTTGTATTTTATTGTGGCGACGTTCACTTTGTAAGGAAGTGTAT